TTTGATAAATTTTACTTTTGTATTTATAAATTGTTTTATGATCTTAAGTGTTTTAACAGGAAATTTTAAATTTTCTGGAATTTTTACGGTGGGTCGCTCCGGTGGCCTTAATGTGACACCTCGGATCGGATCGGACTACCCATATCGTTATGTGGGGGGTTACATGATAGGATAATAATAGCTGCACATAGTTAAAATCATCTTCCACCAAATATAGTTCCCTCGTTCATCAGTTAAATCCATTTCATAAGTACAAACCACAGTTAGACAAAGCAAAATTCGATCACCGAAGTTTTTAAAAAAATTCAATTAAAAATATTAAAGATATTGCAGTCATCCTCCTCATCAAATGGGTCGGCTCCGAATGCAGCAAGTGCAGGCGCAAGGGCACATTGCCCAAGGGATCACGGATAAATAGCACCCATTAAAGAGAAAAGGCAACACTTATATTCCAATCGATTTTAAACATTTAATTTATTTTAAATTATAATTTCTAATGATTTTATTTAAGAATGATGTAAAAATATGAAAACACAAACAAAACTTCATCTTAAAAAATTAAATTTATTTTAATTACTTTGTGTGAAGAGTTTTGTCTTATGGAAGGCCCAATGGGCTAGGTTTTCAGTAAAGATCTGGGTCGGCATGTATATGGAACGCTGTCGTCTAAGTACACAACGACGGCGACTTCTTCGTTTCATCACTCGTACATAATCTCGTCTACTGGCTAAACCCTCTTCCGCTCTGAAATGGTGTATTCATTGTTATCGCTTCCTTCAACATTTTGCCGCCTAAATTTATTCCCCAAATCCTCAATATTATCCCCCTTCACCTGGAAAGGCCTTAGTTTACTAAAATTCCACAAGCAACAGCGTTTAAGACCCTTCGGTTATCCTCTCCTTTATTTTCCTCCTTCATTCTTCTTCAGCAAGTCATTTCTCTACTTCGACAACTTCTGTTTCGTCCAAATCCTTTGATGATGATTTGGTTGTTCTTGGCATCGAAACGAGTTGCGATGACACAGCAACCGCTATCGTAAGTACCCTTCACTTCTCCCGCTTTCCTTCGGTTTCCTTTACGGATATTCTTCATTTTTAATGGGAATTTATCTTTTTGTTATAAAAACGGAATGTTAGGTGAGAGGCAATGGCGAAATTCTCAGTCAAGTTGTGTCTTCTCAGGTAAGTACTTATTTCCATTAGCAACAAAATTTTCCATTTTCAGTACTATTTGTTTTCTCCTTTCAGTGAAGTGAATGTCTTTTTTTCTTTTCACTTTAATTATTGATCCCATGAAGGCAGATTTGCTAGCTCGATATGGAGGCGTTGCTCCTAAAATGGCTGAAGAAGCACATTCACAAGTCATTGACCAGGTATTATATACGCTTGTTCTATTTAATTAACAAATCATATTAGTCTGTATTTTATTTATGTAATGTGTAAATGCCAATTCAAGAATAAATCACAAATTGATTATCGAGTGCAGGTTGTGCAAGATACACTTTATAAAGCTGGTTTGACTGAAAAGGAACTATCTGCAGTTGCTGTCACTATTGGACCTGGTTTAAGTCTTTGCCTTCGTGGTAATTTCTCTTTTAATTGAATTCTATTGCTCATCATTGCTTCGAAATGTGGCTAGAGTTGACTTTCCCTTTTTGACATTTTTATGTAATTTCTGTACAGTTGGTGTGCAGAAAGCTAGGAGAGTTGCTGGTAGCTTCAATCTACCGATCATCAGTGTGCATCACATGGAGGCTCATGCTCTAGTAGCCAGGTATTGAAGCAATGACCGTATATAGATTAGAATGAGGCATGCACACCAGCACTGCTAAATTATTATTGTTCAATTAAGACATCAGAAGATAAGCCATATGTTGTCGCTCTTCAAGAAAACGGTGTGCTTTTAAAGTACCATTTGTTTATCAGTACCTGATATTGTTAATTCTTTATCTAGGCTGGTAGAAAAGGAGTTGCAATTTCCATTCCTGACGCTACTTATATCAGGTACGAGTTTCTGACTTTTTGGTTTTTATGCTGCTTACACTCATTGTGTACACATTTTTGCTTGTTAGCAAGCTAGTTAGTGAGACCGAGAGGAAGACAGAGATGTTTGAGCCCATGTCTTTGCATGATATGATACATATTTATGACTGTAACACCATCATGTACCACAAAATATTACTCTGAAATCCTTTGCAACTCCGGGTTATTAAAGTAAACATCTACAATTCTCTGCTTCACATATGTTAGGGAATTCTGTAATTGCTGTTTTCTATCTGATTAAGAAATTTGATGACTATACCATGACATGAAAAAATCGTAAATTTTTTGTTTTGCCACCAACTATAGTCTTGTCTGTGGGTTACAGTCATTGCTTACTTGTTCCCTGGAGGTGGACACAATCTGTTAGTTCTTGCTCATGACCTTGGTCATTACACTCAACTTGGGACCACAATAGACGATGCAATTGGTGAGGCTTTTGACAAGACTGCAAAATGGCTGGGCCTTGATACGAGGAAGAGTGGTGGGCCAGCTGTTGAGCAACTTGCTCAGGAGGGTGATTCAGAATCAGTTAGATTCTCAGTAGGTCTTTTCTTTTAGAGTGTATTGACCTTTGCTAAAATGTATATTTGATGATTCGGTTGTTTTTTCTGTATGGTTTTGTCCTGTTCGTTGAGCAGTTGTTCTGAATATCACTAATACATTTCTTCCTTTTTCAGATTCCAATGAAACAGCATAAAGATTGCAATTTCTCGTATTCTGGTCTAAAGACCCAAGTGAAACTAGCAATTGCATCCAGAAATATGTATGTAGACCACACTGATATCATATATACTTGATGATTAACAGTTCCCCTTTTATATATCATGTTAATTCTGCTTGACCCCATATGTTGTAGTGATGCCAAGGTTCCCCTTTCAAGTGCAAGCAGCCAAGACAGAATCTCCCGAGCTGATATTGCTGCCTCTTTCCAGGTTACATCCTTCTCCTTTTGTCTTTGTATTGGTCTTAATTCTAGATTTATTCATTAATGCAATAATTATAAAACATATTTATTGATATGTGGGCCCTTAAAATCTGTACTCCAGCGGGTTGCAGTGTTGCATCTAGAAGAACGGTGTGAACGAGCAGTTGAATGGGCATTGAAGATTGAACCATCCATAAAGCATCTGGCGGTGTAAACTATATCATCTCTCTCTGTGTTAATCGTATTTACTCCTGTTAGTACTGGATGCTTTTTATTGTTAATTTGCCACATAATAGTACATACTGACCTTGTTCCTATTTTTCTTCTTGCAGGTGGTATCCGGAGGTGTAGCGTCAAATCAGTACGTCAGGGCTCGATTGGATCAGGTTGTGAACAAGTACAGTCTGCGGCTTGTATGTCCCCCTCCCAACCTTTGCACTGACAATGGTAAGTTACATTTGCACGAGTTTTTGTCAATCTTATATAATTACTTTAACGAAATCAGGTAATAGTTAATGCTTCTGTCTGTATTCTTGTATGTATGTACAGAAAGATAAACATATAGAATGTTCAAAGGCTCTAAAGTATTAAGATAAACGTGCAAACCCAATATTTAAACCTTGGGAAATGATCTAAATGTTTTAGATAAAAGTAGGCAACTAATGCTATAATTTTCATAAAAAATAGGCGTGATGGTTGCTTGGACTGGCATCGAGAACTTTCGTGCTGGAAGATACGATCCTCCTCCACCTGCCAATGATTCAGAAGATTTCATGGTATGCAGAGATATATTACTACGTGTATGACTGTATTTGCTCTGTAAGTTATGTTGTAGTCAGAAATAAGTAGCATGAATTTTGACATGTTTGTGTTGCACCAGTATGACTTGCGGCCAAGGTGGCCATTAGGGAGGAAAATGCATAAGGCAAGAGCGTGCCACCCTATTTAAGAAGGGCTCAGGTTCATCCGTCGCTTACATCTCTTGTGCGCGCCTCACAACAACAACAACAATGATGAAACTGTATGCATATACAGAGATCTTCAAGTGGTCTAACCAACGAAGCATAACTATGTCTATGAGATGGGTAATTGAGATTGCTTGTTACAGTGGCATCAAGCATATTCATCAATAGACTCTGTAAAACTTTTAGTTTTGTCAATTAAAATGTAGTATACAGACGAGAAAGATTGAAAAGATAAATTTATATTTTCCTTTTAGTTAGTGAAGAAACATGTTACAGTTGGAAGAGATGAGCGGGATGAGAAGTTAGGGATTGAGGATGGAGAATAGGGAATTGAGGCGAGGGAAGGAATGGAAAGAAGGGAATTAGGGATTACAACTGAAGAAGAGGAAAGAATGCACTTACCCTTTGAAGTGGAGTGTATTGTTGAACCGGTTCAGAAGGCATTGGATCCAGTGGAGTTTCATACCCAAGTTGAGTTGAAACAGCCCAAGATTGGTGGCCCAGTAACCTAAAAGGGAAGATAAGATCAGTTTGTTATAACTGTTATTGATGTAATGCCAGCTGACATATTTTACAATTTACGTTTTTAGCCCTGTAACTAAATAAGATTGGCTGTGAGACATCTGATTTCTTAGATTATGAATGAATAAGCATTTTCTTCTCTGAATTCTCTCTAAATTCTTTCTATTTCTATTACCTATTTCTCGATATCTCTTCTAATCATCTCAAACCATAACAAATTGGTATCGAGAGCCTCGGTTCCTAGCAAGAGTGGTGGTATGCCCAAGAAAAATCAAAACATGGCAGAAGACTTAGTTGGGTTGCAAAAATAGATGGAAGAATTGACAGCACTGGTGAAACAATGACAAGATGAGTCTAATCCTCCTAAATGGTAGGAGACTCAGGACAACAGAATTTCTGCATTAGAATCTATGATGGCTACGAACCATGGATATGTTGAGGAAATCTTGAAGATTCTGACTGGAGGAAGGAGGACCAAACTAGTCTGCTGAGGATCAAGTATAGACTCCTAACTCATTTAATATGAGTAGTAAACAACCTGTTAAGATGACAGTGATTAATGATAAGACTCGGTTTACCTATAAACCTGAGGAGCCTGGAATTCTTAAGTATAAACCAGGGGAAATGCCTGTTCATTTGACTAGCTTAAGAAATGACAATTTGATGGGGGAGAACAGTGTTGTTAGAAATCAGTTAATGGCAGTAGAGGTGGATAAAAGAGGTACTGGGGGGTCTTCTAACATGTCAGGGGTAATGTGGCATAGACCAAAAATTGAGCTGCCAATGTTTGAAGGAATTAATCAAAGAGGATGGTTTCAAAAATGTCTTAAATATTTTTCTCTTTGTAATATCGCTGAAGAGCAAAGAGTTGAGGTGGCTACCATGTATTTAGCAGGAAAGGCTAAAATATGGTTTGATGGTTACATTATGCAAAAACATCATGTTACTTGGCATGAGTTTGAGGTAGACCTATGTCATAGGTTCAATGACAAATTTTTTGCTGACATAGTGGGGGAGTTCACAAAACTAGTGCAAAAAAGGATTGTGGAAGAGTATCAGGACAAATTTGAGGAATTACAGCCACATATGTTATTACAAAACCCTATATTAGGGGAAGAATTTTTTGTTTCTCTGTTTGTTAGTGGGTTAAGGGAAGATATTAAAAACAGAGTTAAGGCTTTGGAACCTAAGTCACTCTCTGAGGCATGTAGGTAAGCTAAGTTATATGAGCCGTCTATGGAGTTTGAAAGCAAAAGATTGAGATCAACCTTCAGAAGTTCAACTTATCCAAATCCTATATCTACTTCAAAGCCAAACCAGCTACCAATACAGCAGAAAAATTCAGCTAATCCATCACCAAAGCAGAATTTAATAGATTATAGAAGACAAAACAATTTATGCTTTAAATGCGGAGATAAATTTGTTCGAGGTCATCAATGCAAAATGAAGCAATTGAACATGATGATGGAGGATGACATTGTTTTACCCTCAGAGAATTCACCAGCAGATTCTGACCAAGCAATTATGCAAGAAGAAGAGAGCCTAGAAATATCAATCAATGCTATTAATGGATGTATTGGTCATAACACATTGAGGATACAAGGAACAATTCAAGGGAGACCATTTAGTATACTGATTGACAGTGGTAGTACCCACAGTTTTTTAACACCTCAGTGGGCTGAAGCCGGTAAACAGATTAATACTCCCTATCCTTTGGCTATTATAGTAGCTAACGGACAACAACTTTACAGTCAGCAAGGTGTAATGAGGTGGAATGGAAGATGCAAGGGCACTCTTTTATACATGATTTTAGATTGCTTCAGTTGGGGGCAGTGATATGGTATTAGGGGTGGATTGGATGAAATTGTTAAGTCAAATTTTGATGGACTTCAACAATATGACACTGAGTTTTGTGCATAAAGGGAGTAGGTTATTATACAAGGTCAACAACAATCTAATTTTTTGCAGAAGATTTCAGGAGCTACCCTATTGAAGATGACAACTTCTGACTCATCTATTTTGGGACATATAGTCCTATTTTCTATGTCTGAAGGTTCCAAAATTGTTCCTACAGCTATTCAATCTGTTTTGGACCAATATCACTTTGTTTTTACTAAGCCTACAGGTCTGCCACCTACAAGGAATCATGATCATGCTATTGCTCTTAAACCTGAAGCTGCTCCTATTAATTTAAGACCTTATAGATTTCCACACAATCAGAAAGTTGAAGTGGAAAGACAGATTGCTAATATGCTATCATCCTTTATTATTCAGCCAAGTAAAAGTCCATTTGCTTCTCCATGTCTTTTAATAAAAAAGAAGGATGGTACTTGGAGGTTTTGTGTAAACTACAGGAAGCTAAATAGCAGCAGTGAAAGATAAATTTCCAATTTCTGTGGTGGAGGATTTATTGGATAAGTTGCATGGAGCAGTATATTTTTCCAAAATTGATTTGAGGTCTGGTTATTGGCAAATCAGAATTAAATATGAGGATATCTACAAGACAACATGTAGAACTCATCAAGGCCACTATGAATTTAAGGTATCCTCATATTTAATTCTGATTTGCCAATAACTAATCAATTATTTGCCAAGAGATCATGTGGTTCATCTTCAATTAGTTTTGGAAATTTTGAAAACTAATCAATTATTTGCCAAGAGATCCAAATGCTTCTTTGGACATACTCAAGTGGAATACTTGGGTCATATTATCTCAGCCTCTGGAGTATCTACTGACCCTTCTAAAGTTGCAGCTATGAATGATTGTCCTGTGCCAAAATCTCTAAAATCTTTGCGTGGATTTTTGGGACTAACAAGCTATTATAGACGGTTTATAAAGGGTTATGGTACAATTAGTAAGCCCTTGACACAACTGCTCAAGAAGGACAGTTTTAAGTGGACTACGGAGGCTTTATTGGCTTTTGAGAATTTAAAGTATGCTATGTGTGAGGCCCCCATTTTTGCATTACCAGACTTTGGTAAATGTTTTTATTTGGAGACAGATGCAAGTTCAGGGGGAATTGGGGCTGTATTATCTTAGGATGGAAGACCTATTGCTTACCTTAGCAAGGCACTTAGTTCTAGACATGTTGCTCTCTCTATATATGAAAGGGAATACTTGGCTATTTTATTGGCATCTTCTAAATGGAGACATTATTTAGAAGGCAGTCCTTTTGTTATCAAAACAAACCATGAACCTCTCAAGTATTTATTGGAGCAGAAATTAACTACTGCTATTCAAAAGAAGGGCTTGACTAAACTGATGGGGTTGGATTACACTATTCAGTATAGGAAGGGAAATCTAATGTAGTTACTGATGCCCTTTCTAGACAATGTGAAGATCAGGGTCAATGCTTAGCTATGAGTACTACTGTGATCATTCCTAGTTGGGTGCAAGAGGTGGAAGAAACTTATAAAGAGGATAAAATGGCTACTGAGTGGATTTTTGTCTTAACAGTTAATCCTAATGTTGATCCTAGGTGGAAATATTCTAAGGGTATTCTTATATTTCAAAAGAGAGTTTATATTAGGGCTAATGAAACTCTAAGGTTATAGATTATTCAATCTTACATGATTCACCCCATGGGGGTCATTCTGGTATACATGCCACTTATCAAAGGATTAAGCCTTATTTTTATTGGCCTAGGTTGAAAGCTATGGTAGCAGCTCATATCAGGGCTTGTACAGTGTGTTAGCAAACAAAGGTAGAGCATATTGCTAAGCCAGGACTCCTACAACCAATTCTTATTCCTCAATAAGCTTGAGAGGTAATTACTATGGATTTTATAGAGGGTTTACCTACATCTTTGAGGAAAAATTGCATTTTGGTGGTAGTTGACAAGTTTACAAAATACAGTTATTTCCTAGCATTGTCACATCCCTATTCTACTGCTGATGTAGCCAAATTATATTTGGATACTCTCTATAAACTTCATGGCCAGCCTAAAATGGCCATTTCTGATAGGGACAAAACATTCGCTAGTATCTTCTGGAGAGAACTAATGAAGCAGTTAGGGACTAAAACATTATTCAGCACTGCATACCATCCAGAGACTGATGGTCAAACAGAAAGGGTGAATCAGTGTTTAGAACAATATTTGAGGGCCTATGTTTTTTTCAACCAAAACAGTGGGCAAAATGGTTGCCACATGCAGAATGGTGGTATAACACTACCTATCACACTGCCCTAAAGCTTACACCATTTCAGCCTTTGTATGGTTATAAACCTCCTACTATGGTTTGGCAGACAAACACTACAGTACAACCTGTTAGTGATTTAATGACTAGCAGAGAACATATTAGACAGTTGGTAAAATGGCAGTTAGAGCAGGCAAGCAACAGAATGAAATAACAATCAGACAAAAAGAGGACATAGAGGGTATTTTGTAGTGGGAGATAGTGTGTACCTAAAGTTGCAACCGTATCGCCAAACTTCACTGGCCCTGCGAAAAAATTTAAAATTAGCAGCAAAGTATTATGGTCCTTATAAAATTATTGAGAAAATTGGGGAAATTGCGTATAAATTGGACTTACTAGACTCTTCTAGGTTGCATCCAGTTTTTTATGTCAGTCTCCTGAAGAAACATGTGGGTGACTCGATTATTTCTTCAACTGAGCCTCCTGCGATGGATGATGATTGTCAGATTCGAGTCGAACCGTATAGGGTTATGGGCAGAAGAATAATAAATAGACAGAACAAACATGTGACTCATTTGCTGGTGCGATGGAGAAACCTTGATGAAACCAGTGATTCGTGTGAGGATTATACTGTTCTCAAGGGCCAGTTTCCAGAGTTTGATCCTTGGGGACAAGGATCGATTCCAGCGGCGGGTATTGTTACAGTTGGAAGAGATGAACGGGATGAGAACGATGATTATGAAGAGAACGAAGGAATTAGGGAAAGTAGAAGCCTAGTGTTAGGGATTGATGATGGAGAATTGGGAATTGAGGCGAGGGAATGAATGGAAAGAAGGGAATTAGGGATTATAACTGAAGAAGAGGAAAGAATGCACTTACCCTTTGAAGTAGAGCGTATTGTTGAACCGATTCAGAAGGCATTGGATCCAGTGGAGTTTCATAGCCAAGTTGAGTTGAAGCAGCCAAAGATTGGTGGCCCAGTAACCTGAAAGGGGAAGATAAGATCAGTTTGTTATAACTGTTATTGATGTAATGCCAGCTGGCATATTTTACAATTTACGTTTTTAGCCCTGTAACTAAATAAGATTGGCTGTGAGACATCTTATTTCTCAGATTATGAAAGAACAAGCATTTTCTTCTCTGAATTCTCTCTAAATTCTTTCTATTTCTATTACCTATTTCTCGATTTCTCTTCTAATCATCTCAAACTGTAACAAAACATTGCTCTTTCTTCGAGGCTCAAACTGAAATCAATCAGCCAATCCAAAATTAATCCGATTCAGAATGTATTAAAATCTTTAGAAAGAAAAACAAAATAAAACTCAATCAAAAAGCTATTGTTTTTCTTGTAAATTGTAGTTATTGAGTTACAAGAAAATTGTATATTTCTTGTGTCGAGCTTAGACATGTGAAATGTCAAAGTGAATAAATTTTGGGTTTAATTTCTTTTTAGTACAAAATTTTGGGTTTAGTTTAGATTATATAACGCACTATTCGGCTTAGATTTTGGTAAATGATTAGTGATTTTTTATGATAAGATTAGGTTGGATTTTGGCGGTAGTTCTGTTGTGTGTGGCGGGAGATTTAAGGTTAATTTGGGACCGACTATAATTTAACATTTTATTCTATTGATTCTAAAAATTATATAATTGATAATAATTATTTGAGACGAAATTTAACTTAAAATGTTATATTGTTTATTCTAATAAATTATATAATTAATAATTTTTTAGTTACAAATGAGAATGCTATTAGATTTTTTAAGCTAGTTTTTAAGTTACAATTATAATAGTTATACAATTTATATAATTTGTTACGAAGAATATAATATTTTTAGTTTTAATCTAAAATATTACATAATTTATTCTAAGGAGTTACTGAAATGTTACCTAATTCATTCTATAAAGAGCTACACATTCAGTAATTTTTTTACTATGATCCATTGTAGTTTTTTTAATCTTATATTAACATTTTTTAAAGTTTGGTTTAAATTTTTTATTATTAGAGGGAACAAATCCTATATAAATCGGTGATTTCCCGATATATCACCTGTGAACAGTATATTTCCCGATCTAACACCGGTCAGATTATATTTCCCGATCTAACACCCTTAGTAGTAAAGCGCGCCCCCTGCACCGTGTTATACGATGATTTGGCGCCACGTGGGGTATAGTGCGCCCCCTGCACCGCGCTATACGGTGATCTGGCATACACGTGGGTATAGCGCGGGGCAGGTATCGCGTTTTGTATAACTTTCCTCGCTATAAATACCATTCTCCGCCGGTTAAGTTTCTCACATCTCTCCTCTCAACTTATAAATTAATACAACAATTCCGTCAACGAGTCAATAATTCTGGCAATCTTCTCATATTTTATTTAGAAGTTCGTGCGATTTTTCGTTATAAGGTAATTTTGTTATAATTTTTTATTATATTTATTGTTTATTATGATTATTTGAAAAAAATATTATACTAATTATTTTCAATTAATTTTTGTGTTTGTAAAACTGGAAAGCGGGAGCATACGTCGAAATAGTTTTGCGGTGCAGGTAATAATATTAAATTATATTATTTAATTTATTTACGTTGATGTGTAAAAATTTTATTGTGTTATATGTTCGTTCATATATAATTTATTAAATCATGTTTGTTTCATTTATTTTTTTTGCAGATATAATAGTGCCGCACTTTTAAACTCAAATAATGGCGCGACTTTCAGCTATTGTTTATTATGGTGGTGAAATTCGAGAAGATGAAACCGCGTTGTTTTCGTATCAAATGAGCGTGTTAAAATATCATTCAAGAGAAACATAACTATTGAGGAGCTGATAACGAAGATTTTGAGGAAGATTTATGTTGGAAGTAGTAGAAGAGTGTCGCCGTTGCAATATAGATTTCCAACATCATTGTTGCCATTAACTTATACAGCGTTCGAACTTTCAAACAATGATGATGTTGAAATGATGGTTGAAGCTCAAAGTAATTATTCAGACGCCGCTATTGAGATGTATGCACATTTTGTTCAAGTGCGTGCTGTTTGGGTCAATCATTAAGCTCCCACTATGGGCTGGCTGAACAAGTTGATCAAGTTGACAGCCCGACGACAGTAATGTGTAATTATTTTAATGCCATAATGGGAGACATTCATCCTCAATTCCTTACGATATGTACCGAAGCAGGTCGACGAACAATCCATATGACAACATCACGTCCAGTTCAAGGGGAAGGCATTCATCTGCAAATCCCTTTGACCTTAATATGGAGATGCCATCGACGCAACCATCTGTGCAGTTTCCATTTGATGTGATGGCTTCAAGCTCTAGAGGGAGGCATTCGACTACGAGCTTTTTCGATCTCAATGTCGATATGCCTTCCAGTTCAAAGGGAAGGCGTGCAAGTAGTAGGTTCTACGACCTAAATGTGAAGAGCATAGAGGAACCATCATCTCCACCAGAAGAACCGCTTCGTGAGCCTGGTGCGGATGGTGCTGAGACTGGACTATTCATTCACCCAGAATCACCGCAATTCAACTCTGATGATGATGAAGTTCCAGGAAATGTGACACAAACTGACTCTCCTGCACACATGTATGAAGCTGATTATGGTGCATTGTACGGGCCAGAATTTGCGGATATGCCTCATCTCGGTGACTATGGGTATTACTCATCAATAAATAATGGTGAGTTATTTTTAGGCATGGAGTTTTCAAGCAAAGAAGCGATGATGGCTATCAAAAATTACAATATTCGTAATTCTGTTAAGTTCAGAGTAGATTACTCCACGACCGAAAAATATATATGCTACTGTGCCCAGCGTGAAAACGGATGCAATTGGATGGTTCGCGTATCGAAGAGAAAGAGGAAAATCAACAGATGAGAACTAACAGTATACAACGGTCCTCACACATGTTGTTCTGGAGGGGTCAACCAAGATCATCCCAACTTTGACTCTGAAGTGATATGTCAAGCCATCATGCCCATGGTCAAAACAAGCTCTCATATAGCTGTTGCAGTGTTGATTTCAGCTATACAATTACAATATGAGTACACTCTCCTATAAAAAAGTTTGGTTGGCAAAACAAAATGCCATTGTCAAACTTCATGGCGAATGGGATACATCTTACAATGAATTTCCAAGTTGGTTTAGGCTGGTGCGGACGTTGAATCCTGGGACAATTGTGGACTTCGAAACCTCCTATGCATACCATAATGATCGAGTTCTTCACGATCGATGGCAATTCTACCATGTTTTTTGGAGTTACCCACAGTGCGTTAATACTGTCAAATATTGCAAGCTTGTGGTCTAGATCGACGAGATTTTCTTGTATGGAAAATACAAGCAAGTTTTATTATTGGCAGTTGTCCAAGATGGCAATCGCAACATTCTTCCAGTTTTTGCTCTTGTCAAAGGAGAAGATACATCTTCTTGGGCTTTTTTCCTCTGAAATTTACGGGCACATGTTATCACGAGGGAAAACATCTGTGTCATTTCAGATCGCGGAGCTGGGATCAAAACAGCAATGGAGTCTTTGGGTCCAATGTGGTAACCACCCTTTGTCCAACATAGGTATTGTCTTTGACACATTGCCGCGAACTACCATGGAAGGTACAAGAAGAATGATGAGCGTCAATTAATTGTGCGCATGGATAAGTGAAACTTAGCAAGTTTGTTTTCTTTCGATCGTTTTAATTTTGCAAAGACAGCAAGTTAGTAAGTTATACATTTTTTGATCAGGTTATGAACTACTTCCTCGAACGTTTGAATCAATGTTTTAAGAGTTGCGGGAGAAGAACGAGGAATGATATGATTACATCAGCCTCATCGATAAAGAAATGTGGACGAACGCATATGATGGTGGATATCAATATGGACACATGACGACCAACTTGGCAGAGGCAGTCAATTCAACCTTAAAGGGTGAACGTCACTTACCAGTAGCGGCTTTGGTAAAGATTACATCAAGAGGTCATCAAAAATGGGCTCTCTACGGGGAAGGCGTCGATGTCGATCCTCCCACAACACGACCCACCCATGATGCCTTACCAGCCAATCTGTATCTGTCTTGCCGCGTCTATCTAAGCTATGCAACTCGTCCATATTGCGAGGTGCTTCCGGAATTGGAATTGATTGAACTCGACGGTCGCATAACGATCAGAGGGACCATCGCCATCCAAACATCTAATGGACCCCTCAACTCAGGTGGGATCACCGCCCTCACATCATCAGTAGAATATGGCACCCATTCAAACTAATATAACTATAATCTAAAATCGATTTTTAAGCATTAAAATTCATACATGTGTGCCAGCCTTCTGATCGATTAGCACCCTAATCTTTTCTAAATCATTAGGTAGCTCCTGGTGATTTTTCCTAACAGTAGATCACCTATTCGAGGACAAAAATTTGTTATACGCTGTATAAAATTATTAATATACAAAATCAGTTTTATAATTACCTCAGAAGTAGTGGAAATACGAATAGATTCTTCACAACGGGACATAAAAAGGGCAATCGATACTATGCCCAAGACTATAGCAGCAAGAGACATCCGCCGATAGCATTACACCTGTAGTCAGTGGCTCCACACATCTCCCTGTACAGCAAAGTCAAAATTGTCGAGCCCCAACTGAATGATCAGGCGAGACGAAAGTCGCTAAGATATCGCAACCACATGCAGTGAACTAGGTTGCGCGATTTGTCCGGCATCAGCAACCCTACTATCAGTTGCAGTATGCATGCCCGTGCATACATCTTAACCTCATCCTCAGAGGCGTCTGCGCTCAACTCCCGAAAATTGGCATCTAACCAATTTAACGGTATCCTAC